CTCTGCAGTCACTGGAAGATTTCTTCTATAAATATATCCCTCTATAAATACCTGGCTGGCTTTCCAGCTTATTAGTGGTTCCGAGGAAATAAAATGATAACACACCTTGTACTTTAAAACTTGTATATAAAACATCTCAATAAAATAACTCAAAGGCACCTGTGAAATGAAATCATGGCCATGGTTATCATCACCCCATTCCCTACAACTTAGTTCCTTTTTTGTTTTTTTCTTTTACCAAATTAAAGATATCAACTGAAATATGGTCACTTTGTGGCAGTTCCCAACTTGAAATAAAATGAACCTGCCAACAATTATTGATTCATAAGCACTCTGGTCTGTGCTGGTACACAGCTTGGCATTTAATAAAATTAAATGTCCCCGGTCAAATTACACCATTGGTTTTTAATCAGTGCAATCTCCAGTGTTTCTTAAGGCTTCCAGCATCGCTTGTGGTTGCCTGGAGCTGTGCGCTTCTCTCAGCCCTGCAAGCAGTGGCAGGAAGACATCTGTCCTCCAAGGAAGGGGGATATCAGCATAGGAAGCACACCATGTACTGCTTTACCAGCCGTACCTGATATGTCTGGCACTCCTTCTGCGGAATTGCACTAAAACATCCATGTATTTTTCAAGCAAGGTTTGCATTAGAGCAGTTTACTTGGGGTTGGGGCAAGGGGGGGGTGGGGAGGGAGGGAAGGAGGGGGGTGGGTAGTCCCTCAGCATCCCCAGCAATGGGACAGATTTGTCTGCAAGCTCTCAAGTTAAAGATATTCATTATTAATCCTGGAGAAGGTGTTTTTTTTTGTTTTTGTTTTTTTTTTTCTGCTCTGCTATTTGCTTTGACTTGTGTTTAATGCCACGAGTACAGAGTGATTCAACTCCTGTTTGTGAGGGCTTTCAGGTGACTTTGGGCATGAAGGCAGCGTGGCTGGGTTGAGTTCTTTGGAGCACTGGAGCTGCCAATCCCATCTTCCCCGCAAGGTTTTCACAGGGATCAGTATACTCAGACTCTTCACTTGAATGTAGTCATCATAACTGTAATTAAATCATCAGCTGCATAGTCTGGCCATTGCAGTAACGCTCGTTTGTTGATGAACTTGTAATTTGTAGATGAACCTGATTTGTAGATGGAGGGATTTGTGGGTTGCTTCTGTTAGGGAGACAAAGACAATACCTTTCTTTGGCAATACCTTCTTTCTTAGGGAGATCAGTCGTAAACAGTAACAGTGCTGTTTGCTAATATACAACAGGATCAGATACTGGCAGCTACTTTTTCTCAAGGCTCATAGACCTCTTGTAGGTCTAAGCTGCTTCATTTCCTTCTTGATCCTATTTTCAGTCTTGCATGTCTCTGCACTGCTTCATCTCTTCCCATGTCACTCCTGTACGTAGACTTACAAAAATACTCCTGTATATGAACAAGTCTTCAACATATAATTGAAGAAAGCTCTTCTTTGACACCAATGGCTCTTGAACAGCACTATTTTCTTGGAATCACACTCTGTTCCTAGGCAGTGTTGTGGTTTCCTCACTGATCCCTTTTGTTTCTATTTTCTGATGACTAAACTAAGGCCTTTGTAACTTCGCCTCCCTCCCTGGACTGAACGCTGGCCATCACATCCCATGACTTTCCTAAGTTTTTACCTTAGTTTACTTCTTGGTTATGCAAATATGACAATTGTCAGAATCCTGCATTTAATGCATCCCCAAAGGAAGAAGTACGTTTAGGCTATAACAATACTGCAGATGGTGTCATTTGTTATAGAAAAGACTCCAGGAGAGCACTCAAGTGCCAGTTAGAAAGCTCAGTATAATTTTTTAAATAGTAATGAAGTTTATTAATGAGAAAAAGTTGGACTCCAGCATAACTCCTCCAGCAGGTACTGTTGTCGTTTGTGTTTCACATCATTACTAATTTTGTATTCAGCATATCAGAACCGTTAATTCAGATTTAGTCTGCAGCTGAATAAGCCAGATTGCTTAGGAAAATAAACGTCTCTATTACTTTTTATAGTGTTGAAATTAATTTACAGTTCCAGATTGTGATAACTAAAATTGAGAATTAAAACTATATTTGCTACCTGCGATTTCCCAGAGATTAGCATTCACGAGGCTGTAAAAATATTAACTACTTTAAATAATGCTTGCAATATTTCTAGAGTTATAAAGCACCTTCCCCTAGCTCACTTTAATTTATTTAGCATCCATGTCTTTAAACCTTCCTTTTAGAATATTCACACTGCCGAAAGATTAGACTGAGATTATTGCATTAAGAGAAATGCTGTTTACGATGATGGCATGTAATACAATATGTATTTCCAGGGGCTTTGAAAGGCATGGAAATAAAATTTTTAATGATGTCTTTAAGGGCTCTTAGAACTGCTTTTGTGCTATTGGAAGAGCTGAGGTTGAGCAGAATTTCTGAAGCAGAACGGCATCGAGTCAACAGCAAAGCGGATAAAACCTTTATAGGAAAGGGGGAACTCACAAAAAGGCAACTTCATTTCCAGATTAATCTCTGAGAATTGTGAGGAGTGCAAAAGGGAGAGATGGGTGAATAAGGAGCAGTGAATGTGTTTGCTCAGAACAGGTCTTCCTCCAGCAAAGCCAACGGATGCTGAGTTGTTTCTCTGTTAGTGTTCCATTCCCCTCTGAAATACTCAATGCCTTCACTGTTAGTGGCATTCAAAAATCACAATTTCTCCTCCAAAATGAGCAATAACTTGAGCAATGAGCAATACACAGTTGTGTATGTAGGGTTTTTTGAGCCTTTAGTGTGTACCCGAGTCAAAGCTGGACTTCAGTTCTGCTGAAATGAATAGCTGAGCTCCTTATGCAATGGGTTGATGCAGAAAGCTGGAGCTTAAGAAAACCATTGAATTTCATAAGAAAATTGAATGAGTTGGACGTGGTACCATTGCAGGATTATGTTCTCAGCCAATAATGTCTATTCTAATACCTCCTTGGTAGAAAGAAGAAAATGGGATTTAATTTTATATCCGTGGATTCAGCAAGAAACAGAGCAGCAGATTCATAGTTTGTGTGGTGCAATACTGCCTTGGATGTTTGGGTAAATTCTGGCTTGGTTTTGGTATTGACTGCTTTAATGAAGTATCTGCCTAATTGTGTCAGTGTGCAGGAAGGGCAGAACTGAGCAGCCACTGACAGCAGATCTCACCTTTTGCTTGATTGTCTAAACTTTTTAATTTTGAATTGAGTGGCGTAGAAGCACTAACTGGAAGGGTATTTTGTTAAGGGAGCTGCAAGGGAAAGCTCTCAAGTGCTCTTAAGATGATGTGTGATGGCAAATCATGTTGCAGATGTCCTGCAATAACAGTTTTTTCAAAGTTCATTGCTTGACTATCTTGCCATATAGAGATCATTTCCTTTGGGTACCACTGGAGAAAAAATCACTTTCCCAAAGACTCTTCCTTTGCTTACTTGAATGCTAATCTTTATTATTTCACATCAGAGTTCCTTGCATAAGTGATTTTAGGATGGTAACACCACAAGCTGAGATTTCAGTACCTGAATTCCTACTCTGAAACCACGGAAACAGAACTGCCTCATTTTCCAGTTTCTCCTTTTTTTTTTCTTAAGAAAATATACTGTTCTTAATTCTGAAGGTAAGAATCCAAATGCCCGAGTGTCACTTTATGAGAATTGCCCTTACATCATGAGTGAATCTCCAGTGTTCCATGGCTGTGCTTTTGCAATAATGGTTTAAAAAGGAAATGTTTATTTTCCCCCAGTTTTTAGTAGCTACAGATGAAGCAGGGGGCTGATTACCCACACTGAGCTGTGAGGGTCAGATCCAGAGGAAAAAAAAAGTGAAACTAAACGTTTCAGAAAATAGGTGAAGGATCCCGCTGTGGCCAATGTGGATGATTTAGCCTAACACTGTGGCTCCCAGCCTCTCCCCTTCCTATAACCCATAAGTTATGGGTAGTAGAGTCCATGAGCATCACAGTGGACACAGAAACTGCACATAAACAGGTGCAATCAGAACCAGAAAAAAAAAGTTATTAAATTGAGGACTGTTTTTTCCTCTAATTAAAAATAACACATATTTAAGTATGTGTCAAGTCAGGAACTGAGGATACAAAGATCCATTCAAAATAGAAATGTATTTCAATTTTCAGCAGCAGCTTCCATTCCTATTGCACTTTCATTGCAGGCAGGATGTCTGCTTAAAGAGAAGTACTTGAAATAGGTCACTGGAAGAGAAAAGGACTGAGTTTAAAGTTATTTTCTTATTCAGTTATGCGTTCACATCATCCTAAGATCTATGCAGGTGAAACTACCTGGAAGGCATCATTTGGGAAGGACTCATTTTGATGTACTACAAAGAACATTACAAAATATTAGGGTCCATCCAGACTCAACAATTAAATTAAGACCATGCAGCAGCACTCTCCTTCCTCTTTGCTGGGGATTTGTTCTTTTCTGAGGATGTCATAGCACGATCCTTTTTATCAGACACAAGAAAACAGTGGGCAATTAATCAGCATAGCATTGGTGGCATAAATGAGATTAAACACCCCCACACATCAACAAATTTAAAGCAAATAGGAAATTTGGGGGGAAATCAGTCCTCAGGGCACAGTAGAATCTGCGTTGTTCTGTGTTTTCCATTTGACTTGCCAGAAAACACTGATTAAAAGGTCCCCTTCGTTATGGTTGTAGCATCTTACTGCAGTCATAGAACGGCAGGCACTAAGAAGTTCTCAGAAGAAATAAAGAAGTTGAGAAAATCATTTTATTGCCTGACAGAAGGGGAGGCTGCCTTAATTTTGTTGTCACTGGGAGTCTAAATGCAAAAGGACAGCTGCTGTGCTCAAGCAACAATGCAATCAGTTAATGCTTTCAGCAGGGAGACATTAGCTGCTTCTCCCTCCTGCCAGGCAGGGAGAAACAAAGTTTATAAAAAAGAAGGGAAAAAAAGGAACTTTTAGACTTTTTTCTTTCTTTCTTTTTTTTTTTTCTGTGCTCATTTGAAGGGAAAACAAGGGCTGCACCAGAACAGAGGATGTCTTTCAGGATGCTCCCACTACTGTATCTTGGTGATACTGTTGTGATGTATGCGTTGGCTGTGGCACATTTCTGTGATAACTGCAGTAAAGCCACGTAATCACAACCATTGAAGAGAACCCAAGAAGGATCATGTAGGTTGTTGTCAAAGCTACTTTTATTACTGACCAAAAAAAGAGATCAAGCAAGAAAACGTTGAATCAGACATGGATTGAAGCCATGCAACCAGGAGGAATTTGCCCTACATAGCGATGAAATTAACATAAACCATAAACAAAATGAAGACACTTGCTATTTTCACATTCCCGTTTTGAAATGAAAGTAAAGCAGAACAAACAAGAAACTAAAATCATATGTAAAGTCTACAATGTGTTTCTGCCTCAGAGCTGCAATAATGAAGGCTCCTTCTTCTAAAGGAGCAATATTCAGCAGCTTCATATGTTTGACCCTGAGTTTTGCAGTGATGAAAAGAAGAAACAGAGGAGCCTCAGCCTCACCTTGGCATAATGATCTATTTTCAGGCTTTTCATAAGATCTAGAACCACCAAAAGTAGGAGCAGGAGAAGGCAAGAGAGAAAAGAGATGAGACATAGTTGTTAGGCACAATGACCAATCCCTTTCATGTGAGGCCAGTGGACTTGCTTAAGAGTGGGATGCACTGGGATTTTAAGAAACTTAAATATATTTTCAGATCTGCAACTGACCGTGCTCTTCCATGCTCCACTTAAAATTGTGTTTTCAGAAATGCAGATTTCTTCTCTAATAGCCTCATGGGGGGAAGCTGAGCAGGGCTAAGAGGCAGGACTTGGCTCCCATCCTCTGCAGAACTGGGAAGCCAAAAGACCCAAGAGCACAGCTAAACCCAGAGCTCGAAAACGCATCCGAAGAGCAGTGCTTTACAGGTAAGTTGATCAGGCAAAGCTCAGATTCTTTAGCCATCAAAGCTGAAGTAAAATATTAGTATGTTGAGAAGAACAGTCAAGGAAAGAATATTTAATTATAAAGGGACAGCAACAAAACCATCAGAAAGGAAACAGGTGAAGTTGAAAACTCTCCAGAACTCTCCTGCTCTTGGTGCATCACCTGCTGAAATAAAAGAAAAAAAAATTGTTTAAGTTGCTGTGAGCTCGGTCTTACACATCATTATTAAATGCTGAAAGTTTAATATTTCATATAGATGGGATGAGGAGATTGCAAGAGAAACTGAATAACCTCCATGGACTTCTGAAAGCACTGAGACCAAATCCACCCTGAAAGGAAATGAACAGTAAAACTATATTGTTGAAATTAAGTCCCGTATTTATAGCGTTTGTCTTAATTTCAGAGATTTATTGAAAAGGGATTTGAAGAAGATGAATTAATAGTAAGAAATGACAGACTAATCCTTTCCTTGGGACCCGTGATTATATGAAGGTGTAGTGAAAACAGCAGAGAGAATGCTAGGTGCCCTTGCTGGATGGATACTACGTTCAGTTTAGACATTAATCTACAAAAGTGGATTAAGAAAATCAGATGTGAGACATTTTCACAAGGGTTTTGTTCAGTCTTGGGAACTACATCTACAAAGAGTACACTTTATAGCTCTGAGAAATCACCAGGGAAAGGGGTTGGAAAATAGATTTCAATTCATTTAAAAAAGATTAAACACTGCCATAAAGTAATCTAATTAGTTTTATCCTTTGTTCTGCTCTGGACATCTTCAGAGCCGTCTGTTTTATTCTGCTGCTGCTATGCTGCCTTTGCCCCCATGGAAAGGGCTCTCCCTGCACCACTGGGCTACAAAACATAGCTTTGAGAGCACCAGAAAAGGTCACTGCAGAAATCAAATGAAGCTGTATAATGAGACTTATCTTTAAAACCTCTTGTTAATTAAAAGATGAAGATTTGAGCCCGGTCATGTTTCCAATCAAAACAAAGAAAGTTTTGCAGTCACTTGAATGGCAGCCAGATCATATTTCTGATAACACTGATCAAACATCAAATGCAAGAGGGCAGAATGGTAAGCGTGAGAGTCAGAAAGGCAGCAAGCAGAGAACATGCTTGGTGGGCATTGGCCTGCTGGTATGATTTGCTTAGCTAATTAAGGGCAATCTTCAGAAACTTATCATTCTTAATTTGCTTTCATGATGATAATAATAACGTATTACTGCGTGTTTGTCAAAGACACTTTATTGTGCAGTTGCCTTTCAAGGCCAGGCTGGAGGCAAGCTGTTAGAGAGGAGGCACGGAGCAGCACGGATCTGGTGTGCAAGCTGGAAAGGATTAGCTGAGAGAGGTCTAAAATGAGCTGTCAAATGCTTTCGTTTAAGCATTCTGGAGAGGATTCTTAAGTCATTGAGCTCTAAATACACTGGGAAAAAAAATGGAGCTAGATGAAGATGCAAATAAATGAAATCGGGAGGCTATTTTAAAACAGAATGTGAGTTTATAAATAGTGTAATAACAGAATACTTTTTGAAAAATCAGGAAAATATGTCAAAAAACAGAAAGAAAATTAACTATGACCAAGCAGAAAATACAGTCACTTACTGTGAACAGCAGATATTAGATCTGAAGGAAAAATAATCTATACAATTCTCTTTTCTCCTGAATAAAGCTGACACACCATTTTGTCTCATAATCTGCTTTCCCATGATGCAACAGTATTCTAAATTATCTAATATAATCACTTTATCCTGTTTGAAATTATTGTGTCACATTCCTGAGAACGGTTCAGGAGGTGCCTCAGACCAGAGAAATGAAAGCAAGCCAATGGGAAATGAAGGGCCATCAATCTATTTCTTTTAATCAATTAACATTTTTTTCTTATCTTTGTGTGTTCAATGTAATATAATAATTTAAGACAGTTTTCTAAGCAGAAATGACCAAGGAGGCTGTGGATGCCCATCCCTGGAGGCGTCCAAGGCCAGGCTGGATGTGGCTCTGGGCAGCCTAGTCTGCTGGTCGGTGCCCCTGCATACAGCAGGTGGTTGAAACTAGATGATCACTGTGGTCTTTTTAAACCCAGGCCATGCTATGACCAGGTAAATGGTTTATAAAGACTCTTGCTGCATTCAGGACATTTTTTTTTTTTTTTCCCCAGTGGACAAATAAAATAAATATCACAGATGATGTGATTGAGTGCACTCAGCAAGTCTGTGGATGGCACCAACCTGGGGTGTGCTTCTGACTTAATAGAAGGAAGGGATGCCATCCAGAGGGACCCAGACAGTCTGGAGGAGCTGGCTCACATGAACCTCATGAAATTTAAAAAGACTATGTACGAGGTGCTGCATCTTTCAGTAAGGATGTGGCTATTTTTGCAGTATCTGTCTTTCATTGGGAGTCTGCTGCTCCTCTTCAGAGTTCCAAAGTGTCTGTTAAAAAGCCCAAACAACTCATACTGAAAGGAATTGCAGAAGCCTGTTTATAACCTATCTTCAATTCCTGAATTGTTATTTGAACTTAATTTAAGTTAAACATAGAAAGTATCCTCCAGTTCTACAAAATCTCCTAGATTGATGTAAGAGACCCTTTGGCCCTTCCCACTTTCAAAGAAAGATTCATAGTGACAGAACGGTTCTTTGAGCATAGCCGGTAGTTTATAATTAAAGATGATGAAAACAAACAAACCCAAAAGAACAATTTTTCACTATGTTTTCTTAAAGAATTCAGTCATGCGGAAATTTCCTAAAGAGATTTAATTTAAATGCTTTACCTTGAACAGCATCTTTGAGAGAGATTGTACGACTGGAGAGGTTGAACCACTGTATCCTGTTTTTAACCTGTGTTTACAGCTCTTTCTATTTTCTGCATCCAGATCTAAAATGAAGGAGTGGCCAATTCCCAGCAGGTGATACTGCTTCCATTCCTTTGGAGCTGATTCAAATTTTTGGCAATTTTTATCTCTGTTCTCCTCGCCATACAAAGCAAGAATTTTTCATCTTTCAAATGAGAGCTGAGGAACATACAAATGAGAGGAGATGCCAACTTCAGTTTCTCTCGTCTGAGGTGCTTTGAAATTATTTCCCTTGAACTTCCATCTTTAAAAGAGCAGATGACTTTAAACAACCCTTAGAACTCAATAGAGGCATCTATAAAATGTTTTTTTTCCCACGCAATCAAAGGCAGAAGTCGTTTGTTAGTCAAATCCTATGATAAATAAAGGACTCTGACTTTATATATATATGTACAAGTAGATCGCTCTGAAAGTAATGCCTCCTATTTCCATGGAAATGACAACAGATAGAGCAAATTCTCAGCTACAAAGCACTGTTTTTCAACATAGTCACCACCGTTAACTGTGCATTTTCACCACTGATGAACTTCAAATTACCCAGATTTATGTTCATTTGTTTATCCCTCACCCCAGTACAAATCCTTGCCCTATAGAGCCCTGCATTAAAAACTAAATGAGTGCTTCTTAAAGTTCAGTTTTATTGATTTGCATTTTATATGAGACAGTAAATTAAATTTATGCTAATATGATACATATATTCTTCCCTGAACCATTATGGGGGAGGTTGGGGCCACAAAGTGCAATGATCTATATAATTGTGTCTGTCAGTCACAATGACTCAAACCATCATGCTGATCAAAGTTCTCAGCATCTTGCATATAAGACCCTCAAAGTTCCTCAGAAGAAGCTTGGGACGTCAGGAAAAGCTGAAAGTAAAATGTTACAGTTTAAAAAGGGTTCTGCTGAGTTTGTGGATTTTTTTTAATGCTTTCCACAATAGGTTCAGGAAGGAAATAGAATGGGCGGAAGATTGCTTTCATTTTGTTCCATTACAGAATATCATAAAATCAGATATTTAAATACAGATATTTAAAAAATCAAATGACCTGGAGCTGAAGGCTTCTGCAGCTTACTGGAACAGAGAGTAGCTAGTTGGACTTGATAATCTTTAAAGTCTTCCAACCTGAGCAATTCTATGATTCTGGTCCACTCATACTTTCACCTGAATTCAGTTACAGAATTGATAATTTTTGTATGAACATACTACTCCTCCAGTATAGTTGGTGTTATCCTTTTGAATGTGTGGCTCATGGAATCACGTAAAAGATCCTTTGAAATATGAAGGTAAAACCAGATTATTCAATGCTCACAGTATTTTTAGTTTGCACTCACCTTTCATTCCCAGCACTGAAGCTACTCTATGGCCACAACAATAGAGGTCACAGGGAGGAACATCCAAAAATCAGGTCTTAAACTATACACTGGCAGATACTATGATTCATCAGTCCAAAACAGTGACCTCTAGAGAGTGGCAGGCAAAGGTATCTGCATCCTAATTCCATACCATTCACTGCAGGGAGGATGGTTCTTTGTGATGGCAATTACTTGTATGAATGAGAAACTCTGCTCAACTCTGTGACTGAAAGTGTTGTGTGTTAAAGGCAAGCCATAGTAAAGATTTCTGTGGTACTTTGCTCTCTTATGGTGCTGCATACATTTTCAAAAACAGCAAGGGAAAAGAAATGGAAATGGGACTAATGCCAGCACAGAATTCCCAGGTCTGAAGAGCTTCCAGTCAGTGCCTCTGCTTTCCCCATAGGCAGCTCTAATGAGGGTCTGGGTAGACAAAGACATCCTCAAGCCAAACTTTTAGTTTGAATCCATTTGGAGATAATGGACTAATGTAAGGGAGAGAATATCCTGAAACAACTTTGAGTAGACACAGTTCCAAGTGGTGGTGAAAGCTGAACAGCCTGCAGAGCATTGCTGAGCACTGCACTACATGGTCAGAGCAGCAACGCTGCAGGAAGAGATCTCTGTGCCTTAAAAGATACTCCATCAAGTATCTTAGGGCAAGGATGAGAAAGTAATAAACTATCTACAAGAGTAGATAATGGCAAGATAAGGGAAAATGGCTTTAAGTTAAAGGAGGGAAGATTTAGTTTGGATATCAGGGGGAAGTTCTTTACTATGAGAGTGGTGAGGTGCTGGAACAGCTGCCCAGAGAGGCTGTGGATGCCCCAACCTGGAGGTGTTCAGGGCTGGGTTGGATGGGGCCCTGGGCAGCCTGGGCTGGTATTAAATGTGGAGGTTGGTGGCCCTGCATGTGGCAGGGGGTTGGAGCTTCATGATCCTTGAGGTCCCTTCCAACCCAAGCCATTCTGTGATCTGGATATAATATTATAAACTTTCTTACATTTTAACCATCTCTGAACTCTACAGTGTACATGTTTTGCATGTCAGTTCTCTCACTTGCATCTGAATCTTTGTTCTCTGACATTTAGCATCACTCCTCTCTAGCAAAGGTTGTTGCTTTTTTTTTTTTTTTACCCAATGTCTTTCTGACCTGTCTTTAAAGTCAGCACTCCCATCATTCTCAGCTGACATACAGAAAACAGTGACATATTGACTTTTACAAGAGGTGACACAACGTGAATAGATGAAAACTTGGCGCTGGTTTTTCCATATGAAAGGAAGTGTCAACAAAACAAACAAAAGTCCCCAGCTTCATCCAGTTAATGAATCACCATTGTCTTGAAGGTGCATATATTCAATGCTCTGGAACATATCTCCTGAGATAAACTTGCAAACTGTAGTCTAAAAACAAAAAATGAACTTTTATAAATGTGAAAGTTCATTTATTAATAGATCCTTGAAAATAATGAGGAATTGGGCTGATTTGAGTTGTGTGAAGGGTCGAGATGAAGAAACGCAACCTGCTTTCTGATCAAGACTCAGCCCAACATTTCTGAGTTTCAAAAAGCTGTGAAATGTCCTTCTCCCACTTTTTAGTGGCATGGGATAAATGAGACCAGAAAGTACCTCAGCAGGTTCCTAGTCCAGTGGTGGGCTGCAGGCAAGTTAGATGTCCCTTCAGTATTTTGGTCTCACAAAAAAGGAGGTATATTTGCCATCATTGCCATTATCCATATGTGAGATACCCTTCACATTCCTCAAAGCATCCAGAATGAACCCGATTCCAGTGGCAGTAGGCAACCAGACCAAAGGTGTGGTGAAGACCCTGCGTTTTACAGACCTTCAGCTTACAGATTATGGTGAAAACTTAGAGAAGTGTCCTGAATTTCAAGCACAGAAACAAGGCATTTCTAGAAAAGTTCCTTTCCCATTTCTTAGCTGCTTTCGTGTCCCAGAGAGCCAGCCAGTGCTGTCATACACTGAACAAATCCATGGCAGGAGCGCTAATTGACTTTGGCTGATTAACAGCTGACAACTACTCAGTGGCACACTGAACAAAAACTCTTAGCTGGCTTCAGAATTACAAATGCTACAATCTACTAGAACTATCATTAGCAGAACTTCTCACTGACAGCCCCAGTGCAGGAGTCAAAAAACTTGCCTCTTTAGGACAAGGGAAATGGTAAATCATCATGAGGAGCTGCTCGTTTTTACTGCTCTGTTGATTTCTGGCCTCTGGGAATAGATGTTTCTGTGATGTGCACAGACAAATTTCCATAACATCACATATTCTTTCAATACTGGGTGCCAGCCATACCATACATGCGTTATTTCCTTTCAAGAGTTATCATGCATAGAATTATTTATTATTGTATAGAAACGTTATAATGAAATAACGGTTGCTGCAATGCCCCAAAGCTATAGGGTCATTTAAATGCAACTGTCAGATTAAATGAAAAGCTACATGCTGCTTATAAAACTGCTGGTTAGATTAACATTTCAGTCTTTTGAATTGAAAAAGTAGACTTGAGAACTGAATTGAATATAGAGAAATTGGAGGTTGAGAGCAGCACAGTATTTATGAAATGTCATTTCCCCCTTAGAAA